CGGACGTCCAAGGTCCCCGCCTTCGGCCACCGCCCAACCCACACTGCACCCCACCCCTATGGCCCCTCCTATGGGTGGTGAGCCCATTGGAGGGGGGACCCACGTGCCTTGTTTGGGCTGTGCCCGACCAGGCCCCATGAGTACAGGCCTGGCCACCAGGCGCTCGCCATCGAGCCCCACCCCCAGGCCTGGCTCCAGGGGGGGGCCCCGGTGACCCGCGTCCGGGCAAGGGAAACCATGATTCCACTATTTTATTCATCATGAGGGGTCTTGTGAGGGGTCTTTATCCCCCTCACTCTTTAATCTGTCATTAGAACCCCTTGCTGCTACCCTCCATCATTCAGACCTTATTTCTCTTGTCCTTCTAGTTAAAGATGTCTCTCAGAAAGTCTCCTTATATGCTTACGATCTGCTCCTTTATCTTAGCAATGCCCCTGCTGATCTTCTGCACATCCTTAGTTTGTTTGAAACATATGAATTCCTGTCTGGCTATAAGATTAGCTGGGAAAAGTCTTTTATTCTTCCACTGAATCCTGCCTGTCACCCATCTTCATTTCTTTCTTCTGTTCCTCTGGCAGGGTCTTTCAGATACCTGCTTTTGGACATCTACCCCTCAGTCCCGGGGTTTGGTCTTCTGTTTCTCTCTCATTCTAGACAAGGCTGGTCATTATTAAAATGAATGTCCTCCCAAGGATTCATTTAATAAGTTCTACGCTTCCTCCTCCTCCTCTTATATACTTGGCCTCCATGAAGTCTTTCATTTCTATGTTTATTTGGGATTGTAAGAGACTTTCTGTCAAACATTCTCCTCTGATCTGTAACTGGTTAGATGGGGTGTCGCCCTTGCCGATTTTGAAATGTGCCATCTTGCTTTCATCCTAAGGCCAATTTGGAGCTGGATCAGTCCTCCCCAAGAACCACCTGCCTGGCTTCTTATTGAAGTGAAATATATTCTTCCCCCCCTGTCTAGCCTCTCTCTCCCCATTAAACTTAAATCCATCTCCGCTTCTGTCAGTCTGGTTATCTCCCACACCCTTCGCACATGGAGAAAGGTCAAAAAATCGTTGGGCCCCTTCCCAAAAAGGAACCCCCGCAGTCTCTTAAGTCTGCATTTAATCTTCCTTCCACTTCATATTTTATCTACCTCTACCTGGGGTCCCTGCACTGTAAAAAAGGATACATCACATCTAATCAATTAATAAAATTAAGGCAACAGATTACAAACAATATAATTAATTAAATATTCCCAAAGGAGGACCAAGGGACATGCTCATATGCATTTTACAAAACACATGTAGACTGGTTGGACAAACTCGCATAACCCTCCAGTATCCTTGTGAGGGTAAAAAGCTTGTTAAGAGTTCCACAACCACAATGAACTCCACATTGCTTCTTCTGGATCCAAGGTTTAACCAATGGATGGACCCATCTCTCTGATACTGTGGCATAGGCCACAGGAGAATGATCCCATGTATGATTCATTTGAATTGAACTTATTCTGACCCCCTACCTAGCACCAGTTTATTGCGGGAGTCCCTACCAGGGGAAAATACCTTCTATGATCACTGGGATAGAGAAACACCTCCACGATGATTAGGTGGCGATTCATAGCGGGGATATAAGGTCAAAATGACAAAAAAATGTTTTAGTGGCAATATGAATGTTGTTGATTCAACTACATGATACAATGAAGATTTAAACATGTATCATTGTGTTTTATTAATTCATAAAAGTATAGTTTAAATAATGGTCAGTGAAAATCTTTTCATAATATGTGACATACAGTGACAAATATAATAGTGATAAATAGAATCTATTAAAGATTCGGAGCGTTATTGTAACGTGCGCAAAACACAATGTTGTAAGTAATATTAAACTTGGTAACCCTTTACTTAAAGCTGTCATCTATAATGCATTACAGATACCTTCATAGTGCATTTTAATGGCTTGTATAAAAATTAATAAAGAATTATAGCATCTTCCGTCAACAGTCATGAGGCATTATACTGTTGATTATAATACTTATTATAATAAGCTCCAGCGAAAATCTCATCTAAAATGCACTATAGATACCTTTATAATGAATGAATGAATGTTACATTTATATAGCGCTTTACAAAACCAATGGGGAGCCACTTCATCCAGCACCACTCTGTTGCACCACCTGAATGATGTGACGGCAGGCATTCTGAGCCAGTACGCTCCCCACACAGTAACGAAGGTGGTGAAGCGGCAGGAGAGAATTCACCAGCTGGATATAGGATATGATTAGGAGGCCAGATTTGATAGGGTCACAATGGGCAATTTTAGCCAGGACATCAGGAAATGCATTATAGTGGATGAAATAAGGATTAAGGATGCAAATACATTTTTTTCACACAAGATGTTTTATTTCAGCTGAAGATGGTTTTGCTAAATGGACAAGTAAGTTTTTCAATCAGATTTTTTTTTCAAATGTTATTATCTTAATGTAACTTCTGATTGGTTTTCACTCCCATGAATGCCACTTTCTACATTTTTATTTTCACTGTTATTAAATTAAGCTTCTGACTTGTGAGATGCATGAAAGTTTCCCTTTTCTGTCTCTCAAAATATACTGCCAGCATTATTCTGCTGAGAATATCAAAGGAAAGTAGACGGTAAAGACTTGTTTAAAGGAATAAATGTCCCAACATCATTATATTAGGAAAGAGGAGGGAATTATATATGAAGAGATGTTGCACATTTGATAATTGTGAATGAGAGTGAGCCTGCAATATGACGCCATTAATGGAATCCGTTTAGATAAACAAGGAGCTGTCCAACAACAAGTGTGGAAGTGGATCCGTAAAGCAGCAGGTAGGACTGAGTTGATTCAGGGTTTTTTTAGGTAATTAACATCCATATTAGAAAAATAAATCAGAAAATGTAGTAAATGTATGAATGTATCATTTAATTAAGTGAGATCAATTTGTGAGATGTTTAGACAGCTAAATTTGTACAATCAGCTTCAAAGCATAAATGAATCATTTGTAGATGTACCATACTGTACTGTCTAATATGTCATCTCTGTTGCAAGATGATCTATGAAGGAACCCAAGGTAATACTTATATTTATTATCTGCAGCTAATGTCATTCTGGACCCCAGAACAGCACAACGTAATCTTACTGTTTCTGAAGACGGCAAACAAGTGAGATTCAGTGACCGCTTCCTACCTAACAGCCCCTTGAGGTTCCAAAATTGGTACGGGATCCAGGGAAAAGGCAGTTTCTCTTCAGGGAGACATTACTATGAGGTTCAGGTTGGGACAAGGGGATGCTTTTCAGTTGGATTTGTGAAAGAATCTGTTGAAAAGATGAAGAATATTCAGATAACTTCAGAGAATGGCTTCCTGCTGTTGACACTAATGAAGAATGACTATAATGTTTCTACAGCCCCCCCCCCCACCTCCCTCTCTCTGAATGAGCCCCCTAAGAAGGTGGGGGCGTATGTGGACTTTGAGAGGGGGCAGGTTTCCTTTTACAATGTGGGCACCAGGTCCCATATCTACTCTTTTACTGGTTACAACTTCAGCGAGAAATTCTATCCAGCTGTTAACCCCTGTAACAGTATGACATCAAGTCCCCTGATCATCTCTCCTGTCAGTCACACAGACTGATCTGAAACAGCAGTTTTCACACAGACAAGGATTAATAACTGTCCATTTGATGATTATAATGTTGGGCTTTTTTTCTTTATATAGATATTTGTTTGTCTACATGCTTTGTCTGTGCCAACAGCATTAAATGAACTGAGAGATTACAATGATTACATACATACTATCTTCCCCTGAATCTACCAACGATCACTTGCCTGTGAATAGTGGTCAGGTGATTTTACTGGATGCATTTAATGGAGACATTTAATGATTTTAAATTCAATCACAGGTTGCTTGCACATTTCTTTGAACTATCAGTTTTTCTGCAGTAATTCTGTATGTCTGCTGTTAAAAAATATTTCCTTGGTTTGTTATCTCATCTCATTTTATACGAAATGCAGGTTTGCTTACTTATATTTATATAAGTTTAACTTACTGAAGAGTGTACCAGCTTTTTTTGATACCAGCATTATTGTGGTATCTTTTACTTTTCATAGAGATTATTATGGACCAAAGACTAACCTGTGTTTAAGCATTATTTTGTCAGGAAATGTGCCATGGCTCAGTTTCACCACCTGATGGCAGCAGACAGTTCACTCTAGTAGAACCTATTGTCAATGAGTAATTCCTGATGCTTGTTTGCCATTAATTATCCACCCTTTAAATACAGGCTTATCCATCTGTGGTGTATTGAGTCTTGATGTGCTAATTCCTGCATTTCGTATAATTATATTTCCTACATCGGGAATGCATGTGGTTTTGGGATCTGCCAGTCACATTTTAAGGGTGTAACAATGCACTGTGGCATGAAGTCAATTATTAATGTTAATACAAAGAGGCATAATAGGCATAACCTGAGTTTTGCTTTGAGATTTTATTTTTGAATTATGCACTGGAGTCTGCAGAATAAAGAAAAAACCAAGCAAAAAGATTTTTTTTTTTTAATAATAATATAAATGTACATGCATTTGAATAAAGAACTGTGAGATTTTAGTCTATTTTCAGTCTTATTTTGTTTGAGCTGTGAGCCCTGAATTGTCCGTCAAACCGAATTGTGAATAGACTTTCGTTACACCCCTATGGCACAGACCCTTATTTCTTTTAGTGTCTTATTACCATTTTGTCATTTTAAGACAAATTGCACCAAAAGTGAAGCAGCAGCACTAGGTGGCAGCAAAGGAAGGAAAGGCCGGCTCTAGAACACACTTGATCTTGTGAACACAGTAACTTTAAAAGTATTTGATGTATATTTTTCAAGAAACATTGTATAAATGATTATCTGTGATCAATTTCATTTTGAGACAAATTGCACTAGAATTAAAGCAGTGTCACTTAGTAGTGGCACATGAAAGGGCAAATAAAGATTAAAATAATTAAAATAATCTTTTAATAAAGATTATTTGGAGGGGGGACAGTGTGTGTGGGGGGCTACAGATTATAGAGGTTAGGGGATGTAGGAGGAGTTGGGATGAGATGGGGAGGAGGTGTTACATCTAAGGAGGGAACAACTTCAAGGCAGACAGAGGGTGAACAGAAAGGGGCTTTATTATTATAAACA